TATTAGTAGTTACCACTCATGTATAATCTAATATATATATATGTACATTATATATATGTATCATGAATAGTACTCGGTATTATACCTGCTTTATTCTTATTCCTTACAAAAGCTTTGAAAAGGTATTGTCTCCTTTTAAGACACGAGGAACTGAGCTTCAGGAAGGTTAATAATAACATGTTAATTTATTTCCAAATACTTCATCTGATTTAATTATCACAATCCATTTGAGATAGGGGAGGCAGCAGAGCAGTCAGTTGGAGTACAGGTTCTTGCTATCGGACTGTCTGGTTTGAATCCTGACTCCATATACAGCTTTGGGACTGTAGGCAAGAAATCTAACCTCTTTGTATCTCAGTTTCCTTATCTTTAAAATGGGGGTGGGGGGAGTAATAACAGTATCTACTTCATAGAATTGTTGTGAGGATGATGAGAATATATTTAAGATACTTAAAACACTGCTTGACATAGTAAGTGCTCCATGAGTTAGTTGTTATTACCTCCATTTTATCAATGGGGACACTGAGGCAGAGAGATGTTAGGTGACTTGCCCCAGTTCCCAGGGCTAGTTAGTGGCTGAGTCAGGGCACAGATTACAAGTCTCCTGCCGCCAGTGCAGTGCTTACTGTGTGCTGTATCCAGGTCACCTGGATTTGAACAAAGGTCTTTAGAACAATGTCCTAAACATCAGAAAGCTTACACATCTTCATGTTGATCAATGTACTCAAACTGGTAGACCAGCGCTGAGCTGAGTCCTTAGATATTTAGGAAGTAACAGGACTTCTTGGCCAGACTGAAAGGAGTGGAACAGTACATGCCTGATTCTTTCTAACACTTCCATATAACTTACAGGAAAGAGGAAAACAAATATAAATTACACCCAGTCATTTAAAACCAGTTCTTTATAATGCTCCAGGAACTTTCTTACCACTGGTAGCCTGTGAATGAGGGAGTATTCCCTCTTTCTTCCACTCGTCTTCACCAGAAGAAGGAATGATTTATTTACTTACTCTGCAGACATCTGGCATCTGGATATACAAAGCAAACTGCAGGGAGAGAGCAGGGTAGCCATCTTCAGGTTGCTTACGTTAGGACAATAGCAGGAAGGTTTGGCAGGCACGGTGTTTATGCCAGAGAATCTTGGCATAGGGAATGGAGAAAAAGAGTTGGCAGATGAGTAAGGAAAAAGAGGAATCGATGGTGGAGTTCCCAGATTATACAGAGAAGATGAAAGTTAGGTGGAGACATGCAATAGAGCAATAGTTTTCTCATCAGCTAAGCTATTTTTGATGAGAAATATACAGTACTTATACGGTGTATTTAAGGAGTGATTTCAGAGGTTAGAAATTCAGGATAATGGTGTACATAAGTCTGATAGATGAATATATATTAATCACTACAGATACACACTCACACACACATACATGCACAGTATACAAACACACACACGTTGTTGTTGTTAAGTGCCGTCAAGTCAATTCCAACTCATAATGACCCTATGTGACAGAACAGAACTACCCCATAAAGTTTTCTAGGCTGCAGTTTTTACAGGAGCAGATCGCTAGGTCTTTCTCCCACAGAGCCACTGCGTGGGTTTGAACCATCAGCCTTTCCGTTAAGAGCTCAGCTTCCATTAGCAGCCGAGCAATTAACTGTTGCACCATTTATGTGTATGTAAATATGTGTGTTTATATATATATATACGCACACACAAATATATATGTGTATATACAGTATATAAATAAACTGAGCAGTTTGTTGTAGAAAAAGTTTGTAGCTGAGTTTATGGTCTAGTTTAGTGAAGCAATGTGATCACATAGAATTGGCCAGCCAAGATGGGTCGTATAGAGAGGGCTCAGCATTCTGGTGTCACAGCTTCACATGTGAAAGATGAGTCAGGCTTTCAGTAGAAAGTAACTCACACCATAGTCCTGGTGTAAGTGTGACAGAATAATGAGAAGTGAAGAACAGCTTTAGAAGATGAAGCAATTCTGTACTATTTGTTCCCTTTCCTTTTCATCCACTATGCTGGGTAATTTTTAGAATTGCTTAAAATTTGGATTTCTGGAGGTGGCCGATATTTTATAGAAGACGATTCCTACACTTGGTAAAAAGAACACTTCAGTGATCCTTGAACTTCTTGATGTAAGCCTTTTTTTGGTGTAAGCTTTTTCTTTTCTCCTATCTCCCCTTGTTTTCCTTTGGTTCTTTCTTTTAATTTTTATTTTATTATTTTATTTTATTGTTGTGCTTTAAGTGAAAGTTTACAATTCAAGTTAGTCTCTCATACAAAAATTTATATGTACACTGTTATGTGACCCTAGCTGCTCTCCCTATACTGTGACAGCACACTCCTCCCTTCCACCCCAGATTTCCCATGTCCATTCAACCAGCTCCTGTCCTTCTCTGCCTTCTCATCTCGCCTCTGGACAGGGGCTGCCCAGTTAGTCTCATGTATCTACTTGAGTTAAGAAGCACACTCTTCATGAGTATCATGTTTTCCTTCAGTTCTTGCCTTTTGCCTAGGGTTCACCATTTTTGGTCTTGTGGATCCTGGGTTTTTAATTAAAGGCTGACACAAGGGATATAAATCAATAAATAATGTTTCAGTGATATTGTAGAATTCAGTTTCAGGGGTTGGTATAATGTATACATCTTTTTGTATACACTACTAATATATGATATGAGAGAAACAACCAAGTGCTAATCTAAATGAGTCAAAGTGAGTTTAAATTCCTTAGGGCAGGCTCTCTCTACAGGGCTTTGCTAAGGACACAGAGCCGGTTGTAACACTTACAAAGCAGTATAGGTAAGAATTAGTGTTATTTTAGCACTGTCTTCTGTAGAAACCTTGCAGCTTCTCATGGAAAATTTCATATGGCACTGAGTGGGTACTGTTTATTTGAGCTACTTTTCTACCTTCGGAGCCCTGGTGGCTCAGTGGTTAAGAGCTCAGCTGCTATCCAAAGGTCAGCAGTTTGAATCCACCAGCCACTCCTTGGAAACCCTATGGGGCAGTTCTACTCTGTCCTATAGGGTCACTATGAGTTTACTTTACTTCCAACCAGTATACACTCTGCTACCATCCATATAAAAAGCCTACGCTGGAAAGTTTCACCTGAAATTCACAATTGACTGACTGAATTCTGCTCCTGTAGGAGACTTCTCTTCAAAGGGGCCAACAAAGGTTTATAGATATCACTGTTCTTGTTCATAGATTTTAAAATCATGGCTATAACTAACTGGAGGCTTGCTTTTTCCTTTGTACATTTCCACAGCTAAATTCAGGCAAAGATTTGTCTATACTTATGTGCCTTCTGAACGACATTAGGGTGTCCTGGCAACAGGCTCTGCATAATTCATTCTTTAAAAAAATCCCTTTGGAAGACTATCTTCCAGGCATAGGATGTTTTAAAGAAACCCCTCTAAAATCACAGGTGCTTTGTGTGGAGGGAAACAGGAGCCTATTTCCCTTTAGAAGGAAAGACTGGGACATAGCTATGGCTCCAGAACTAAAGAGTGTCCACTACCTTGTGCTTCAGAGATGCCAGGAAGCAGTGCTGGGAAAAAGAGATAATGCTAGGGTTTAGAGCTCTGGGCCTATATATTCCAGGGTGGTACCTCTTAACCCTTTGGAAAAATGATGAACACCATGAACACTAGAGTTTGAAACAATTTTGGAGGGATCCACGCACTGTTCGTGAGCTCAGGTTAAGAACCCTGGTCTAGAGGAAGTTTCAGCCTCCCCCAAATGCACTTTCCCTATACCCTAGCCCTTCCCATCATACATATGTCCCAGTTGCAGGATTCTTCAATCTAGTTTTCTGTTAGTGAGGGGCAATTTTAGGTGCCAAACAGTCTCAGAAAAATGGAGCTTGGTACACCTTGGTCACATAAGTTGAAGCATAATGGACATGAGCTCAAGACATGGATAGGGAGTGGTAGTCAGAAACTTCAAAACAGAGGATAGGAGAAGCCATGGGAACTGAGCAGACTAAGGTGCAGATTAATTGGGTCTTAATCATCTAGCTGGAAAGAGACCCACTGATTACCTTCCTGAAACTCTGTATCTCAGGAGATCAACCCCTCACCATTTTCTATTCTTTTTTATTTTATTTTAAACACAATACTGTGATGGGCTCTTGACATACTGAAGAAGAAATATATCATCCCAAACTGCTGTTTTTCTTTAAGCTAAGGACTTGTTCTTAATCATCTGAAACAGCAGTGATAATAAATTTGACCAAGGGTGTCAACATGATGCACAACTTCTCTTTTGGGAAAAGGACTATGGTTCTTACTATCTAAATTTTAAAAACCAGTGTAACTGTGTCTTTATTCACAACTACCATTTCATAGTATCAAACGGCAAAGGAAAACATGTTAAATGAAAACACTCACATACAGGAACTTTCTCTTAAACGGTGACATATACTAAAACTTCTCAATTATCTTCAAATCCATCATTAATGATATATCAGTGATAAAGGATCTTCCAGTTATTCATGGATATCAGCTTCAAACATCATCAGGCAAAGGTCATTGTAGTTATACATAAAGATTTCTGAACTTCTCTTTCATCTCTGTTAGAATTGTGATGTTTTGCATGTATATAATCAGCCAATTTCATATCAATTTTTCAACCTCCATCCATATTACATTTTACATAAAGACTACCAGGAATGACCAGGAAGCTCCAGTATTATTTACTTTGGTTTGTTATATATTGCAAAGATCACGTTTCCACTAATCAGATTTACCTAGAAATTAATAGCCCTAAGGAATGTCTAAAGATGGAGGCATTTTCAGAATGAGTCAATGCTTCACTCTTGAAATTTTAGAAGTGAATAAAATGCATAAGTACTCTATCCTAATGGCATGTGGAAAACATTCTAAAATGACCAGAAGCTATTCACAATGATTAGTAAAATGATGAGAAAGGGGCTTGATGTGGGTTGGAAAGTAAGACACAAACACTATCTGAAGCAAGAGTGGAGGTCTGATGAATTTCCTGTGTTCGGTTCTATTTCAGGAAAAAAGGGTTTCTATTTATCTCTGTGGTAGGATGACAACAGCTGATTAACATAAGGAGGCATCTATTAATTTATACAATATACTGTTAGTGCATAAACAGTTTGGAATTTGTTGGCCTTATGCATGATTTCATATTGGACAGCCAAAATAATGTCATTTCCTAAACTCCACATGATTTTTTTTAATCACTTAAGAAATGGTTTATATCTACCAAGAGAAGGATTTTATGTGAGGGATAATCTGATTATTTCTTAATTTAGGCCAGTACTTACATTAGACAGTCTCCTAAAATTTCAGTCTCAGACTTTTGTTTCATAGGTCTGTGGAGAAGACAAAGGGAATCGCACACTTGTCCCCAGCTCAGGCCCCTTGATCTGACATGGAGATAAAGGCCTTTGCCATTTTATTTTTAAAGCTAACAAGTTGGAATTAAGAGCAAAATGGTCCAGATATTTATAATATTTTCACAATCCTCCTGTGAAATCTGGGATTAATCTCACTATATCACCCCCAAATGAATACTTCTCCTTGATACTATTTTAGTTAAGAGCATAGTGTTCATGCTCAAACTTTGAATCCTGGCTCCAATGCTTACTAGCTGTGGGGCCCAGGGCAACTTATTTGCTTCATTTGTAAAATGGAAATAATAATACTATCTACTTTACATGGTTGTGAAGATAATGACTTATGTAAAAGTTAGCACTAAAAAAATGTTGCCATTTTGCTGTTGATAATGATGATATATGAGGTTGAACTTGACTTTGCTACAGGATGCTGGGCAATTCACATTTTCATAGTTTCACTCCCAAACTTTGGAAGTCCTAGATTAGCACTGTTGAAGGAAGCAGTAATTCTGTCCACATCTTGGGATAATGGCTAACATTAGTATTTCTGAAAATTAGTGATGAGGTTTCCTATATCCCTGACTCTCCTCCTCTCCCCACTACTAGAATACTGGGAACAGGTCTGTTATCCTGAGGAAGGAACAAGCAGAACTAAGGTGTGTTGCTAGTATTTTCTGGGACACAAAGAAGAAAATTAGTTGTAATATCTCATTAATAATTATGTTACATTGATTACATTTTGAATTGATATTTTGGATATATGATTAAAAATAATTTCACCTGTTTCTTTTTTAATTTAAATTTCATATGTGGTTCACATTTGTGGTTCATGCTGTATTTCTATTGGACTGTGCTCTGTTACAGGTACAGCATTTCTGAAGGCAACCAGGAGCCTTTGCCTTATCTAACAGTGTCCACCTGCAGAGCCCAACTCAGGATGTGTAGAAATGATGCCTGTGGAGGGGGGAGGGCGGGGGGAGGGGACATATGCCAAGCTTTTCAGAATAGCAGAATGTAAGAACCAAATAGTAGCAATGAGTTTTGAACTGTCAAATAAACCCTCCAAGAAATACATAGGAATAGCACTTCATAAAGTTTACAGTGATATGTAAATGTAAGACAATAATTATTGCTAATAATCTGTTGGACCCCTGGTGGTTAAGAGCTTGGCTGCTAATCAAAAGGTCAGCAGTTCAAATCCACCATCCACTCCTTGGAAACCCTATAGGGATGTCCTGTAGAGTTGCTAGGAGTCAGAACCAACTCGATGGCACCTAACAACCTAACAAAGCAATCACCTACTGGCAAAATAAAATTAGTCAATGGTCCATGTAAGTTTCCTTATTTGGAGATGATCTGGTACTTTCCATTTAAGGTATAGTTCAAATATCTGTTTGTGGCTAGTGATTGTCTATACTTCATCTGGATATGGTGTCATGTTAGCCCTAAGGCAAGAAGTCATCTTAGCTGGCTTTCTAATTACGTTCATGCTAGGATTTTCTCCTCTTCCTTGTCTGAGAATCTTTGACATGCATATGTGCAGAAGCAAACATGGTTAATATCTGCTGATGTCAATGCCAAGGGATAGCCTGGAAGAACTACAGCCCCTTCATAATCTTTATCAGGCTTTCCTAAACCATAAATGTTGCTGTTGTGTGCTGTCGAGTCGATTCCGACTCACAGTGACCCTATAGGGTTGGCCCCATAGACTTTCCTAAGGTGCAGTCTTTACGGGAACAGATCACCAGGTCTTTTCTCCCACAGAGAAGCTGGTGAGTTTGAACCACCAACCTTTTGGTTAGGAGCTGAGCACTTAACCATTGTGCCACCAAGGCTCCTTAAGCCATAAATAGGCAATTCAAATAAAAACATAGCTTCAAAGCAAATCTCCTACTCCTCCACCCATTCTAATCAGACTTCTAGCTCTAAGTCCCTTCCATTTGGCAACTCTGGAATTGCCACTGGCCCAATAGGAAATGAGGAAAAACATTATATAAACAGACTTTAAAATAACATAGCAATGATGGAGTTCTTATGATAAAAAGAAAGTTCGTATGAAAACAGAAGAACCTTTTGAGAATCATTGTCTCTATTTAAAAAAACACAGTTTATGCAGTGGGTCCATCATGGTCAAAGGCGAGACCTTTACATCTTTGCTCTCCTCTAAACGGCCTCCAAAACCAAAATCCATTGCCGTTGAGTCGATTCCAACTCATAGAGACCTTATAGGACAGAGTAGAACTGCCCCATAGAGTTTCCAAGGAGCACAGGGCTCTGAACTTTTGGAAGTATATTGCTAGGCATGTCTTCCGAGACACCTCTGGATGGTTTTGAACTGCCAAGTTTTCATCTAATAGTTTAGCACTTAACCATTTGCGCCACCCAGGAAACTTGATTTAGCCCATAATGAAATTAAAAGGCTCTGCCGGTAAAGCAAAACAGAAGAGTAGAAGTCAAGTTGGTTTCTACGTCACAGCATTTCTGCTGCACAAGCTCCCCTGCTCCGGGCAGAACGGAAGACGCAGTCTCCCACATTTCTAGTTCTTTTTGTAAGAGGGCACCTTTTTATACCTCATCTCATTCTCCCCAAAATTTACTGTACTGATTTATACAAGCTCATGCCCTGACAGAGAATGGGGGGAAGTGTGAGAACAATGGGGACCAGAGAAAAAAGAACTTAGCTAAGAAAGTGAATTAATTTTGGAGGTGGAGGGTGGGAAGGGGAGCAGAGCGTCATGTCTAGGCTCTTAGGATCCTGTGTTCTTTCTCTGCTCTCGAGGATGAGTGAATGAAATAATCAGAAGCAGTAAGCGAGGCCAGAGGTTGACTAAAGTTACCTCTCCAGTTTCTGCAAGTCAGACCTGCTAATGTGAGGCACTTTCCATCTTTTCCTTCTCTCCAGGGTTGTGGCAGGTGGGAGTCACTGCTAACTTCTTACTTCCTGCAGGGTTAGTCTTGCTCTTTTTAAGATTAGGAAGTTGGTTGCCAAAACTCCCAGTCCCAGTTCTCTGTAACAGGCTAGCACATGCTTAGACACATCTCAGGCTCTACCACCCGAGTTATGCCTTATAGAACAGCATCATAGAACTAACTACGGCATTTGCCTCAGACCAGTGCAGCACCCAGCCCAGAACTTGGGCTCCCACCTTCAGTTCTGCATGCAGCCTTTTGGCTTGCTAGACCATAGCAAGTCCTGGACGTGTCTAATTCTCCCATCCCTGACAAGAACCAGCCATTCCTGGGTGTGGCTTCATGCTCACAAAGTGCAAGACTATAAGTTAAAGAGCACCTGTATTTATTTCTGACAGTGACATCAAGATGACATTTTGTATGAGGGTACAAATGTCTCCTCTGGAGGGATCTCAAAGCTTAGCAAGGGATTCCTCCAAACAACCCTCTTTTCCTCTAATTATCATTGTGGACATATTGTGAATTTTCATGGCATCAAAGAGTTACACCCCCAATATTGAGAAACTGTAAACTAGGTGTCTGTTGCACTTTTAGGACAAATAATGAATTTTCCAAACTTCTGCAAAAGGGACCCTTCTCACAGGGGGCCATTCTCAATGGCAATTGGAAAGCTATGGGTTGGGTACCACATTTTGCCCTGGAAGAAACAGAAGGCAAAGCATACAGAACTAGTTAGTGCCTGTGGGTGGAAGGTATAGGGAGGCAAACTGCAGCTCAGTGTAAGCAGGTGTAACAAAGACGACCATATAAAGGTGGAAGGAGCTGCCTCCTCCTCAGGTACTGAGCCAGGCTAGCCAAGCATGGGACAGGGACACTGTAAGGGGATTCTAACTTTAAGGTGGCGGGCTGGACTGGCTTAGGCCAGGGCAAAGGCTCCCTTTCACGGCGACTGCCTTACTGCAAAACACTAGCATAGTGAGGCCCTTATGCTGGGGCTAGGGGAGGAAGTGAGGTAAAGTTAAGCGGGAGAGGAAGGCTATAGAGCTTTACAAATTAGGACATCTTTTTGCAAGTTGCAGAAAGTTTGTATGGCGGTAGCAAGGGTTGTTGTCTGAGGGAAAGGTGTCAGAAGGCTGCCCAGAGCACCGGAGTGACTTACTGTGAAAGGCAAGGAGCAGACGGCGAAAGTGATGGTCATAATGGCCAGGAGGATGAGGTGGTCCGTCTCCTGCGCCATGGACATTCTTACCCCTCTCCTGCGGGTCCCAGGGCCGCCCCTGCCGCTGCCCAAGGAGTGTCCCCAGCGGCTTCTCCTGGCCCGGCGGTGCATGCGGACAAGATTGAGGATGACACTGAAGTTGCAGGCGAGCACTGCGATGATCAGGAGCAGGAGCAGGGTGGCGTAGAGCTGCAGGTACGCAGTCTGCCCGTGCCGGATGAAGCACCACGTCCCAGGACAGTACTGGACGTACTGCCCGTAGTCGAGAAGCGGCAGGGAGCAAAAGAGCAGTGAGATGGCGTAGATGGCGGGCAGCACCGCCAGGCCCCCGCGGCGCGTGATGTGGCGCTGGTAGAAGTAGGGGTGCGCAATGGATAAGTAACGTTCCAGGGCCATGGCGAAGAGCATGAGCATCGTGGCCAGGCTAAAGAAGGTCATGGTGAAGGCGAAGTACGTGCACGCGCGGCTCTCCGGCTCCAGCGCCACTAAAGTCTGGTTCCGCGCATACGACGCTAGCACCACGGGGCTGATGAGGCAGGTCCCGAGCAGGTCGGTGAACACCAGCTCGGTCACTAGCACGTGGAACAAGGAAATGGAACTCCCGCGGTTGGCGCCGTGCCCCGCGTCCCCCCGCCAGCGGCGAGCCAGTAGCGCCAGCGCGACGAGGTTTCCCAACACCCCGGCCGAGAACATCACGGAGCTGATAGCTGGGCTTTCGCCCGAGGGGAGCCACTGTCGAGTCTCGCAGTCCTCGGCCCGGGAATCATTGGACTCATTGCCCATGATGGAGTCCCGGGAGGAGAGATGCGCCCTCCTCTTCCCCGAGTGCTGCGAGCCCTAGAGGAAAAAGGCGAGGGACCGAAATCTAGAGCCCCCTTCCGGCCCTCTGCGCGCGCCGAGGGCAGGCTCGACCCCGAGTCTCCCCCCGCGCCCCGGGCGTTCGCGCGGCTGTCGCATCCGGACGGCGCCCGTGGCTCCTTCTCCGACCCGCGCTCTCCAGGGCGGAGAACCCGAGCCAAAGGACGGCTGCCTGCACCGCCCCCGCGCCGCCCCGGGGCGGGCCCAAGCGCCGTGTCAAGGCTGTCCCAAGTGCGAGCGCCCGCGAACTGCCGGGGAGGCGCGACGCGTCACACGCTGCGGGGGCGCTGCAAGTACCTCCGGCCGCGCCAGGAGGGATGGGGAGAGGAGGGGGTTAAGGCACCAGCCCGGGCGCGGCGCTGGGCAGCTGCTCAGCGCGAGCTGCCAGCGCCCCGGGACTGCTTGCAGCCAGGTGGCCGGCGGGAGCGGCGTTTCTAGCTCTCGGAGTTGGGTCTTCAGAGCCGCGCGGCCCCTGACTTCCGTTAGAAAGCATTTAGGTGCAGCCCGGGGCTGGGAGGGAGTGCGAGTACACCTGAGGGGCCTGCGCAAAATTCACGGAAGGTCAGGGCAACGGCGAGGAATGCAAACCGACTCACCAAGCTTTGGAAAAGATTGGAGATCCTAGTCCCATGAGATGTGGAGAAGAAGGGAATAACAGACATCAAAGACAGCTGGCAGTAAAACCATTATGGTCCTTTCGAGGAAGTGAAAAGCAAGCCTGTTCATCCAAGGAACCAAACCAGGCACACCTCTGAGCTGTTTGTTGCACTGTTGCTTCGGGTTTGATTCAGTAACTAGCACTTCGCCTTTTCCTATGTCAACACCATAACGGATGACATTGGTTTAAGCAACCAGTAAAAGAAAGGGGGGCGGGGAGGGAAAGGAATGTTCCTTGTAAGTGTGTGGAATTGTGTTTGTGGACACAGTTTGAAACCACTGCACACCATTATTCTCTACTCAAGCTCTACCTTGGAAGAAAATGTTGATATATTGTTTAGCTATTAATTTTTCCACTTTCAGTTAACACGCAGGGCCCATCTGGAAACACCCATTCCTGGTAAAGTTTATTGGTGAGTGGCCAATTTCAGAGGCTGGAGCTGACAAAAATGGTTGCCTGTCACCTATTGTCATAATTGCCAGAGCTGTGCAAAGGGGGTTGCTCTTTTTTTTTTTTTGAAGCCTATTTTGACAGACAGTCTAGGCAATCATTCTGTAAGAAATGTCACTTGAGGAAGAGAGGAGGATTGGGAGGCAGCAGGATCTGCAGAGCCATCTGGAAAGAAAAAAGTCTTCATGTTGAAGAGCACATCTTACAAGCCTGCTCCCTCTCTGAATATTTTAGCTTACCTTGATGAGGCTGGCTTGGGGGTTGGAATGGGAAGGGAATTCGCAACAGGTCAGGCATAATTTACTGGATCACTTGGAATCCCTGGGTGGTGCAAACTATTAGTAGGTTTGGCTGCTAACCACAGGTTGGAGGTTCGAGTCCATCCAGAGATGCCTCAGGAGAAAGGCCTGGCAATCTATTTCTGAAAAATCAGCCATTGAAAACCATATAGAGCACAGTTCTACTCTGACACACGTGGGATTGCCGTAAGTTGGAATCCACTCGACAGCAACTGGTTTTTTTTTTTTTTTTGGCAAAACTTATAGACTGATTGCATATCAGTTGCCCCTACCCCCCCAATCCCTACATTTTGGATGACATTGATTCCTAGGGGAGGGGATCTTAACAACAGTTTTTCTTCCAGGCTGGAAAGTGCAGGTCAGTAACACCTTATCACCAACCTTCTCCACCCATCTCTGACTACTCCCCCACCCCAACCTTCACCCATCTCACTCCAAGTAATGGAAAAACTTTACATGAACCAAAAGTGTTTCTTTTCTACTATTGAACCTTTCCTATATATTCGCCTCTATTTTCCTTTGGAAAGGTACCTGGGAGCAGGCCTGCCCCTAACTTTTGTGGGCACCAGACAGAGCAAGAGTCCATTTGGAGGTCCTCACTCCAGACCCTTCCCCCTTTCTCTTTCTAATCTCCACCCTTGACTCAGCATTATACCATGAGGAAACTTGCATAAATGTGGACAACCCAGCCCCTCATGACCAAGCTCTGTACACATCTCCTCCCAGACAACCACAGCTTGGGTCAGGGGATGTGCATGCCCAAGTGTGCAGTTGACCCTTGTGGGGGTAGACCTGGGGAAGATGTCTGCATCAGCCCTGGAAGTGAACTCTGGGCTGCTCTTGATTCCATAATCCCAGGTATCTGGAAGGTGGTCTAGAATGGAGGGGGCATGGGCTCTGCATGAGTAGGGCCTCCTGGCCCCAAAGTCTCCTCACTTACGGGGAAATATGTGACAAGAGAAAGACCAGAGTGGGGTCCTATAAATCTTGGGGGCCAGGGCAAGGGCCCAAGTGGCCCAGCCTAGGGTGATACTGTCTGATGGTATTATATCCTATCCCTTACTCTCCTTCTATGTTTTATTTGCTGCCAAACATTGAACTTACCTTTTACTTAGTTTCAAACATTTGGACAGAAGAATGTATGTATTTGGTTTAGCAGTTCTGCTGTGTTCCGTTCTGCCAGATGCCTGATTAGATAGGTTGATTCCTCAAATGGATCGTCAGACTTGTTTCTGACTTCTAGCAGTCAGTTCAAACTTGTCTAATCTTGTTTGTTTCCCCCGGTTTTTAAGTTTAAAATCTGCTTCTTTCTGTTTCTAATTTTATTGTTGGTATCTTGACACAATTTCAGTTCAGATAGAACCTAGAGTTCCTTAAAAGAAATCTGATGAATTAACACCCTCCCTGTACCATCTCCTAGGTCCCTGGGTGGTGCAAATGGTTAGTTAGTGGTCTAATGGAAACCTAAAGGTTAGTGGTTCAAATCTGCTCAGTTGTGCTGTGGAAGAAAGACTTGGCAATCTACTTCCATAAAGGTTACGACCAAGAAAACTTTATGGAGCAACTCTATTCTGTAACACATGGGTTGCCATAAGTCAGAGTCTACTTGATGATAACAGATTTGGTTTTTTGGTTTTGTACCATCTCCGATAATTGAGCCACAGAGTTTTGCGAATTTTTCAGTTCCTGTGGTGGGGGGGCAATTGTATTTTAGGGAACACTACTTAAATCTCAAAACTGAAACTCTGAAGTTCATAGTTTTCATTTATGTATCCAAAACTCAAAGGGCTGTGGAAGGCAAGTTGCTCTCTGTAGGTCATTTTTCAAGAGAAAGCAAAGATAAACACAAAGGAAGAGAGGGCTATGTAGGGGACAAAGTAACATTAATTCCAGTTCTTAGCTCTATTTTTGTTATTGAGCCCTAGAAAAGACTAATTGAAAATATTTTACCATTCCTATGAATGTACAGGAAACCACTGTGGTGTAGTGGTTAAGTGCTATGGCTGCTAACCAAAAAGGCTGGCAGTTTGAATCCACCAGGTGCTCCTTGGAAATTCTATGGGCAGTTCTGCTCTGTCCTATAGGGTCGCTATGAGTCAGAATCAACTTGACAAGCAACAGGTGTGGTTTGGTTTTTGGTATGAATGTACAAATACTTTTTTTTTTTTTCCCTCTCAAGTTAAGTTCTAAGAATACCATCTGGGTCCTGCAGTATCCCAGACAAGAGTATACCACTTCATTGCAAAAACAGAAGCCTCTCAAGTTAGTTTAAGAAAAAGAGAGAGAATTTATTGCAAGCACACAGTAATAACCCACAGACCCCAAGCGCTGGAAGTACAGAGAGAATATGATTGGCACCATTTGGGTCAGATGCCAAAATGAGAAGGGTGGGGAGTGTTGACAGCAAAATCTCTGAACTGGCTTCTTGCAGCCAGGTTTGGAGGAGCAGACTTAAAAATTTTTTTAAAAAACTTTCTAAACAAACTTTTTATTGTAGAATATACATAGATTTACAGAAAAGTGGTGAAGATATTACAGAGTTCCCATATATCTTGCATCCAGTTTCCCCTATTATTAACATCTTACATTAGCATGATCCACCACCCGTCTGTCAGTTTGTCATACTGTGGTGGCCTGTGTGTTGCTATGATGCTGGAAGTTATACCACTGGTATTTCAAATACCAGCAGGGTCAGTCATGGTAGACAGGTTTCAGTAGAACTTCCAGACTAAGACAGACTAGGAAGAAAGGCCTGGTGATCTACTTCTGAAAATTGGCCAATGAAAACCTTATGGGAGGGCAGAGAAAGATGGTGAAGTGAGTGGGCACTCTCATTTACTCCTCACCAACTAACCCACTGAACAACGAATAAAAACAAGCATAGACTGAGATCTTAGAGCTACAGACAGCAGCTGAGGTATTGGAGACTCGACGTGACTCCAAAGGGGGAGACGAGGAGTGGGGATGGCACAAAAACTGGCAGAACCTACCTGCTAGCATTTGGAGTGCCCACTCATCACAGCCATTTTGGGATGAGACTGGGCAACACCCCAAAGAAAGAACACAGAAAAGGAGCTAATCTGAGGAAGCTGTAGACTGAATTCTTTCTTTCTTTTTTCTTTTCTTTTTTAATTTTATTGTGCTTTAGGTGAAAATTTACAGTACAAATTAGTTTCTCATTTAAAAATTTATATAAAAATTGTTTTGTAACATTGGTTGCAATCCTCACAATGTGTCAGCATTGTTCTCCTTTCCACCCGAGGTTCCCCATGTCCCTTCATCCATTTTTCCTATCTCTTCCTGCCTTCTCATCTTTGGTTTTGAATAGGTTCTGCCCATTTGGTCTCCTATATTTGAACTGAGAAGCACATTCCTCATGTGTGTTATTGTTTGTTTTATAAGCCTGTCTAATCTTTGGCTGAAAGGTGAACTTCACGAGCGACTTCAGTTCTGAGTTAGCAGGGTGTCCGGGGGCCATAGTCTAAGGGTCCTTCCAGTCTTGGTCAGACCAGTAAGTCTGGTCTGTTTTTGTGAATTTGAATTTTATTCTACATTTTTTTCCTGCTCTGTCTTGGACCCTCTATTGTGATCCCTATCAGAGTGG